CTGCTTTAAGCTGAAGCTGTAGCATTTTGGCCCCTGTCTGAGCTACAGCTCCTGCTGCATTGAAGCTGTGCCTGCGCACAGCCATGGACTATGTTGATCCAGACCCAGATTCAGACCTGCAGCCTGTCTTCCTGACCTGACCTCAGACCTGCCTCGTCACTGTGGCCTTGTCTGGAGACCACTGGGCTGTGTCTGACTCTGGGTACCATAACCAGACCTGATCCTGACCCTGACTTGCTAACTCATGTTCCTGCTTGACCTCACACCTGCCTTATCACCCATGAACTGATATGGTGATCTGACCTCTTCCTATAACCTGACTACCATTCCTGGGTCTGTGTCCTAGTTTTTGCTAGGATAGGGTTAATTTTCTTCTTAGTAGCTAGAAAACACTGTGTTTTGGTTTCAATTATGAGAACAATGTTGATAACTACAGGGACACTGTGCTTGGGCAATTTCCAAGGAGAGAGGACTGGAAGGGAGGAGTGGAGAAAAATGTAGTAGTCAGTAAAACCCAGAATTGACAGTTGGATACGCCACTCAGATATTCTAGATCATACTACATCATGTTTAGTATATTAACTGGGGCCGACTGGAGAGGGGAGGATTCTCTCAGGAATCGCTCGGGCTCGCTTTTCCAGGCTTGCAGTTTCAGTTTCGGGCTTTCTTTTCGCTCCTCCGGGATCGTTATCAGCGGGTAATGAGCAATTGTACTGTGCACCACTCACAGATATATAGTTGTTATCATTATTACTCTTATTATTATTTTAATTTTATTTTTACTCTAATTTATAAAATTGTTCTTATCTCAACCTACAAGTCTCCTCACCTTTACCCCTCCAATTCTCTCCCCAGTTCCCTGGGTGGGGAAGGGGATGGGGAGGGGCTGCAAGTGGCTGTGTCTTGTTTGTTTGCCAGCTCAGTTAAACTATCACAGTCTGTCCTGCTCACCTTGCTTGGGTACCATGGGACAGGCCCCTGCCCAGCCAGTGGCTTATCATGCTTGGCTACATCTCACCATCCCCTGGTGAACAGCCATCCTGCACTGTGCCCAGACAGACTTGCTACTGAGGATATTGTTTTTCTTTGGACTGCCTCAGCCCTGCAAGCTCTTTTGCCTTGCACAGTTACCTTTTCTTCATGCTCTTACTGATGGGAGGAATTTGAGAATTAGAAGGCAAATTCTTTTGTTGGAAAAAGCCCCAGTTAAATTTCTTTTTCTAATGTATTCTTTTACTTTCTTAAAACTGAGCACTCCAAAGACGAAGGCTGTAATAAGCAATTTATTTATTTAAAGTTATTGCAGAAATTAAAAGACCACGTTGCCATTGTGGCTGTTATTTTGTTGCAGGTAGTTGAGGTGATTGGATGCTGCCTAGGCTTTGGTAAGCTTTTTAGGCAGCAAAGGCTGGAGAATGGAATCTATCTTTTTTGCTTCTCCTGGGCATGAGTCTGATAGAGAAAGTTCCTCAGGAAAAGGGAGAATAACTGGTCCAGAGACTGGTTTGGTCAAGTCTGGTTTGTCTACCTGAGTCTTTTCTCCATCAAGGCTGGGTGTAGATCCTACAGCCTCAGGTGGAAATGGCTTTCCATCTTTATGTTCATTTTGACTTTCTGGTTCGTTTTGGAAAGAGACATCCTCAGTTGAAGGGGGCAGAATTTTAACCCAGCCCACTGTTTTTTCTAGGTGTGGGGAGAAAGGACTGGTTTCTGAAGGGAAAGCTTGTTGATGATTCTGGCCGGATTTTCCAGGTGTCTGATTAGCTTGCTGTTTCTCCTCTTCAGCGGCAGGATCCTAAATAACAGGCAATAAGCATTACCTATATTGAAGCTATTCAATTTTCAGATATGAAAAGGGTCACCCTTCACACTAAGGATCTGCTGCAATTCCAGTCTGCAAAGACCAGCTATAGAACTCATCTGCTGAAAGGATAGGCAGATGGAACTACTTCTTAGGCCAGTGGAGATGGGTGCATGAAACTTGTGTAACTACACAGTTATTGCTCTTTGCATTCCCTTTGTTATTTACAATTTCTTTGCAGAGCATTCTGAATACATTCTGTAGGACTGACTCTCTACTTATTCTATTGCCTTTTTTTATCCACCTAGCAATAGTGTGTTTTATCGCAAGAGAGATTTCTTCCTGATTTGGCCTTATCACTTTCTTGAAGCCCATATCTTTGTGAAGAAGAAAACTTAAAAATGGCTGGGTTTTCAAGAGTTCAATTCTTCTTTTGTAAAGGAGTATTACTATTGCAATATTAAGATTAGAATAAGACATACCTGTAGACTGTAGATTTCACAGGATATTGTGACAAACTGTTCATGTTTGAAGTGACTGTTTACTACAGAGCCTTTGCAGAAACCTATTTGCTGGAAGAAGAAAATGCAAGCATTTTTTTTTTTCACATTGTAGCACTGATACTTAGCTCATATGTTGTAAAATAAGTGATTATGAAAGGCTGAATATTTATAGCTTCTACATGTATTTGTAGGGATAAGCAGCTTGAGTAAACTTTTATTTTGGGATTGGCAAGCTTAAAAAGGCAGGCAGCTTTTTGAAAAAGGCTTTATGTTTCCAAAGGAGGGTTAGGTAACATGATAGTAAAAATAAGCTTTCCACTTAAGGCCCAAATACAATAGCACACTTAAATTCTGCTGCAGCAGAATATCCTCATGCAGGCAAGCTGTGTAACAGAACATAAGACCATTTTTCAGACAAAAACAATTTCACACCACACTAGTGAAAGAAACAGTGAAAAATGGTTGGTTTTCTACTGGGCTGTAGGTAACATGGCTTGGATCTCAGTTAAGATGGGGCTTGAAATGTTACCTCTTGGCTGTGTGCCTGTTTAGTCTTTCAGTTTCTCTTATAATTTTTCCTTAGTTCCTAAATGTTTTCCTTAGCTGACCTCCTTGTAGTATGGATATACTCTTTATGCATTGTTTGTAGTTTATTGTCTATGTCTGTTTACTTGGAAGAAATCCTTAAGAATGGTTCATTTTTGTAAGGCGATGACTACCCCGCCTTTTTCTGAATGGGATTTTTTTCTGTTTTCTCTGGTCATGGACTTCTAGGTGAGAATTTATAAAGCAGTTTGTACACACTTGCAAGACAGCATGGAGCTAGAACCCATTAAAAAACGCCTGTGGGCTTTGATTTTTGTCTGCAACCGAAGGGATAGGCTAAATATTTACTGAGGAATCATAGTATCTGAAAAATAGATGTTTATACAAGGGAAAAGTACTTACAGCTAGTTCTGAAGAAAGTGGCTTGCACTTGGAGATGTCAGCAATCGTGTCATTTTTGGAGCAAGATGTCTCCTGAATTAAAAACTCCACAAAATACGCAGGACCAACAACCCACTGTCAATGAGAGACCAGTGGCAATTAGACCTTGTGCATGTATCAGGAGGAAGGAAGAATCCTACAGACCTTGACATAGATGTAAAACTCCTGCTAAGTGTGGAAGGAGCAGGTTATACTTGGGGCATTACTGTTAGTTGTATTACAGGAGAATTATTTTTTGCAGTGCTGCCATTATTGCCTGGTTATTTTTTACTTCTTACGTATGCACAACGTTAGTAACTCATAGATTAGCTATAGTTGTAATGAGTTTGGGTTTTGTACTAAGTTAGCATCCACATAGAACTACATATCCAAAGACCCTTTTCAGTGCCTCGTTGATAAATTCTGGCTGCTTTAATGAACAGGTTCACTTTTTCTGTTTCTGAAATGCAAGTACCTCAGGGTTGGAAAATGAGAGTGATTAAATACGGTATTGTAGTAGTATCTAACGGTTTGAGACAAAGAGTGAAAACCACCTTGTTATCTATACATAATGAATTTTAGAGAGACTGGATATTATTATGGTAAACAAACAGGATTTAGCCAGGAGATCATTAACTCTCTGTTAGTCCATAATTAGTTTTAAACCATGTTTAAACTCATTCAGTGAATTATAGGTATGTGTTGGAAGAGATGACTGTGCTTTACTAAATACTTTCTGTGAGGGAGTCACTAATTCATGGTGGTGGTAGAAGAAAGAGCTCACAGTAAAGCTTTCCTAAACTTTGAAACACAAATCTGTGTCTTGGGTTTTGCATAAAGTCCTTCTTTTTGCAATAAATGGAGGCAAAGTTTTGGATCAATGCAGATCCTCATCTCCCAGGAAAATTCTATATAGAAGCATTCTCTGTCCTATACAGATACAAATTCTAAACAATCTGTAAGACATAACAAATCTTATATTTTATAACAGTTGGATCCATACTTCTTGAGGGCTAAAGCATGTCAGACGAGCCTTGGCTTACCTGCATTGAAGCTTTTGTGACATTGAGGACAGAGAAATAATGAGTTTGTTCACTCTTTTCATTGAACTTGGCAAGGGTTTGAACGGCAGTCTCCAAATATTTGGGCTTAGTTGGACTGTCATCAACTGGGCAGTCAGGACATACTGTCGAAATATGTCTGGGTGGAACTTTTTATTCAAACAAAACAATGCAATTAGAGAAAGCATAACCATAAGAGCATGTTTATAGTGTAGGTCACTGTAAATGCATGTATGCCCCCAACCCTACCCACTTGTTCTCCAGTCCACTGGAATAAGAGTATGTGGTTTGATTCACTCAACAATTTTGAATTTTTATGAATTTGCAGACCCATAAAATGTTGCAGAGGAGGCAGAGACACTGTAGAAAAAAGCTCAACCTACTGACAGTGGGCTTGCTGTTTTTACTTGCCTTTCACAAACCCATAAATATGCTTTTTAGAACAGAGGGTAAAAGCCCATATAGGGGCTTTGCTGGGTTTCCCAGAGATGAAAACAGTTGTTACTGTGCTGCTTTGAGCTGCAGAACCACACTGGCCTTACGATCACTGACGTGAGAAAATTAGGGCAGCTGAAGGCTAATGGGGGTGCTGTGGTGTCATAATTACAATTAAAATTTAAAGTAATGCTATATGGCAAAGAGTGTTTTTCCAGTCCTCTTTTAAAGTGAGTGTGTTAAATAAAGACATACCTGGTTGTAAAATGCACTCATAAGTATTCAGATGAGCAATATTTCTTGCCTGATTAATGTAGATAATTGCTTTGCATTGACCATAAACCTAAAACAATATAAACATTTAGAAACAATTAATATTGCACCCTTTGGACTGATCATCTAGTACCTAGACAGTGAGTGGTTCATTTTCTCCTTGCAGTCATTAAATTATTTTAAAGAAAAAAGTTGTGTTACTACTCAAATGGCAATGGAGCACATTTCTAAGTATCTCCTTTAGAAATAAAAGTCTAGATCTTCTCCTGGTGTAATTCTGAGCTATATGGGTGCAGTGCTTGTCTGCAGGATGGCCTGCACAAGGCCACTCTTCTGGCAGCTAAGACATGGCCAAGTGTCACAGAATGCTTTCCTTGGCCAGGCCCTGGCACCTGAGAGCTGGGTCTATGTCTAGAACCTGGAGATCAGCTCAGAGTGTCTGGATCCAGTCACCTGTCTTCTACCTTCCCCCTCTCCCTCTGTCCATAGTAAGGAAGGAGAGTGGTTAGAAAGACCCTAAATCAGTTTTGTGGCACAGTAAGGTCACCCTTGCACACAAAGAAGCTCTGACTTTCTGGCAGGAAAAAATACTGGCAAAGGAAAAATATCCGTTATGCCTTTATGTTTAAAAGTTGCATGTATATTCTCTCAATGCTTCTTAAATACTGCCACATGTATGATCAGGGCCTCTAAGACATCCATTTCTTGACTTCACAGAAGCCATATCAACCATATGTGCTTTGCACTCTTTTCCTGATGAAAGCAATGTAAGCAGAAATGAGTGGAATTCTTTTATTTTTTCCAGTTTTTCATTTAAAAATGAAAACTGATTGATCTAAGCAGCAGCCCAGGACAATTTAATCATAACTCCTTTTTTTTCATGAAGCTTCTTTCTCTTCATTCTTCATTTTATAAGGTTTTTTTTCACTTACTCAGAATCGTTTTGGTCACCTGTAGTAACAGTCTTAGATCACTTTCTGTCTTTGCAGCTTGTCTTGCTGAGCTTTCTTTTTTCTCTTTTTTCCTTGCAATTTTTGCAAAGTTGTCAGAATAAAAGTGGAATTAAACTAAACAAAAAATTGCATGTTATAAAAAAAGGAGTTTCATTTATTTCCTTCTTGACAAGCTGTCTTTAAAATAAACTCCTACAGGGTTGCTATAAAAAGTAAACCTTTATTCTAAATAGTGTCCTAACATGGCTATGTAGTTGTGTCTGCTTATTAGCTCTGGTCAAAAACTTTCTTTTAATTTTCATTATTTAAAATAAATCTTACCAATCTATAAACTGATTGGAAAGTACAGAGGAAAACTATGGACCTTAAAAAATGGGGTTTGATTTCTTCTAAGCTCTGCTGCCTACTAAAAATGCATGTGTAGGGATTTTGCTGTCATCAGTAGTACCTGAGTAACTCATCATACCTGAGATTAAATAAGAAAATAAAGTCCTTACAGTTGCATGAGGAAATCTGGCCGTACAGTTCTTCCACAACTTTCTGCTGAGTACGTGGCATTCAGTATCTACTACATCCAAGATGAGATAGAAGACAGAACCAGTGATCTCCTAAAAACAAACAAAAAAATAAAGGGTCATATCCCAGTTTTATATAGAACAAAGTAAGGACACGTAAAAAGGAGAGAAGGAGAAACACAAAACATACAGGTGGGACACATCGATATTCTGGAAACTGAACGTTCTTTGGGATAAATTCTCCACAGTGATAAATCAGGTGAGATTCAGGCCCTGTTAGAACACGCTTGGTCATGCATCTAGCCAGCTTTAATTAAAGAACTGCCTTTCAGAGTCAGTTTTATCCTTCTGATTCTGGTGCCAACTGGAACCCAAGAATACATGGTGATGTTTTCATCATCCACTGCATTTAATGATTAGTTTTGAAAGGTAGGTTATTTTACCTTCAATAAGAATGAGATGATAAATGCCACAAATAATAAAAAACTGCTAACATGGAACATTCCCAGTAGGCAGTAGAAACAGAAATATCATATTTCTTAGAGTAGTGTCTTCAAGTAGGAATGCTTTGCACTTGTCGTAAAGAGGCAATGACTCCGTTGATGCAGACAACTGTTCTCTCAGATATCAGAAAGTGCTATGAGAGACCTTGCATATCTACATGGATGTCTCAATTCATTAAAGCTTCGGTACAGTGCTTGAGTTCTGAGCCTGTGCTTAAACCCAGAAACCTTTATTCAGTTCATTGTCATTTGTACACCCTAAAGAACTTCCATGTGAGTGTTACTGCATGTTTAGACTGAGATTATGTCTTTGCTGAAGGGAGAGAAAACACAAAACTGAATGAGAGCAGTATTCTTGCATTCCTAGTTGATTTCACTGGTTTATGGAGAAAACACTGTGGAGTAAGAGTCCTGTAGAAATCTAGGGCTAGTACCTGTACAATTTTAGCTTCAGTTTTGATTTCTGTTTAATAGCAACTAAAGACCAGTCAATAGGACATCTAAAGGTTGGAATACTGCTGGCTTTTTTGATTTTATTCTGCTTGGAAAAACACTAAGAAGTATCTACTCTTGAGTTCTGAGGAGAGCAAATGATATTCTGGTCACACAGTGTAGAGATCTCTGGAAAGATGAGGATGATGATTTTATGTGAGCTCTACCATATGTAGTTGTAATAATAAACCCTTTAATATCAAAGAGCAAAATAAATAGAAAATAAGTCTAAAGAATGAGTACATTTTTTTGTTAGCTTTGTCTCCAAGTTATAGTCTTACATATGCAACTTATCATGCTTTATACCACTTTTTGTATTTTCAAATCCTCTTTTTCCCCCAAGTGTTCTATGAAGTAATCTGTTAATGCCTTGCACTGAGCTCTCAGGGTTTGCCTACACTAATCCTGAGGTTTAATTATAAGTGTTGTTTTGAAGGTCGTGAAAAGATCAAAAAGTATTTTGACAAAGAGGGAAGCTGAGGTGCAGCAGTTCTGTGTACAGTGGCATGGCAGGGTCCCCACACCTGGCTGCATAGATCCTTCTGTGGAAGGAACTAACCATAATTTTCTGCTTACGTACAAGGTACCTGAATACCATGATGATATGTCTCCTTAATATGAT